GGTCTCTATGAAGGAGTGAAAGAATGGAAGTCTAATGTCCCCACAGTATTCCTCTATGACTCCGGCCCGGAGTCAGTGCCTGGGCGACCCGGAGTAAATGTGGTGGGGTCGTGCCCTCAACCAGGAATGAGGGGGAGACCCATCACTCCGCAGGCCCGGCTGGCACAGGCAGCGCGAACGAGGAATCAAGCCAAGGCCAGTACCAGCCAAGAGCCTCCAAGGGGGGAACACGAACCAAGGAGAAGGAAAGAGGTTGTGGAAGTAGAGGACGACGATGATGAAGAGGAAGAGGACGAGAGGCTGCGCAGAGAAGAGGATCAGAGAGCGGAGCAGCGGGCAAGGAAAAAGGGAACYAGGGCAGAGGCCKAACCGGTCATACATGACGGACCGCCCAARAAGAAGAAATACGCGGTCCRGTTGGAAGAAGGATTTGATGTAGAGAAGGTGATTGACCGGCTGCTGGAAGGGCATAATGACCTCATGACCCTGAAGGAAAYCCTAGCGTCAGCCCCGCGACTCCRCGATGAACTGAAGGGGAGGTTATCACGGCGCCTGGTGCCCAATGTCCATCTGGGTACGATCCTGCCSAAGGAKGCAGAGTGGGCASAGTCARGTACGAAGATGGACTGGAAGTGCGTAGCCTGCGGTACGGTGGATTTGATGGTGAAGGGTTCCAAGTGCGCARCAATGGTGGACAMCGGGGCAGAGATGAACATTATTCGGGAGGCGGACGCGATYAGATTCGGGCTGGATATAGACCRTTCTKACTGCGGTATTCTGCATGGAGCCAGCTGTAAGGCCATGKTTTGCGGGACAGCCTCGAATGTGCTCGTCGAGGTTGGAAGGGTGAAGGCCAGGGCATGTTTCTTCATAATGYCAGACGTGGRCCATGGAATCCTCCTGGGGAGGTCATTYCTAAGCAGGACRGAGRCCGTAATGTTCAACAAACATGATKGGACGTTGATCCTCCTCTTATGCGATCCTRYSTGCGRAAATTATGAAAYAATTACTTGCAGGAATACCGKGCCAAGGAGTATAAGGAACCGGCSCAATCCAGGATCATTCACAATCGAGGAGTCGGAAGGGGAGCGCAGGAGGCTCTGGGCAGAGCCCGAAGCAGGAGAGAGGGTGGAAGTATTTTCCCTCATGCCTGTCAGATGTTGGGAAGGCCATGGACCTGGTGG